CTCCTAAATTCCCTGCAGACCTTTAGGAAGGTGGTGGCCATCACCCCATTCAGCGGTGGATAATTAGGGGGCAATTAAGGGGCAATTAGGCAGTGATCCTCCTAGATAGGAGTAGCGAATCGACCATTTTTTGGCACTTGAAGGGCTTGAGCTTGAGAAGACTAGCTAGATAGATAAAACTATGTCTTTCAAAGGTATACACACTTGCTGGGCTGCAACAGATTGTGGATTGCAAGCAAGAATTGCCACATAGTGGCAGTTTGTGGGGAGAGGGCCAGGCTCCTCACAAAACCAACGATTCAAGCCTCAACCGAGGCAGATTATCCAAACAAGTCTATTGCATAACCTTGGAACAATAGCTCACACATAGCCCAAGCTTGAATACCATGTACTCTAGCCTTGTCCACTTGGTTTATGTATGAACGTCAAAGATCGACGATGGCTGAGATTTCAATAATCGTCAAAACTGCGATAGTGGCCTTCCACGATGGGGATCCAGACATGCTTGCGCGTGTTTAGCAAGCGCTATTCCACGTAAGGGACACCGCCCTTCACTGCAAAGATGACAACGACTTATCTTTAGCGCACCAAGGACGGGAGTGACTCAGAAACGTGCGGTTCTCTAGCAGATGCGGAATCTGCACACACACACTTTTTGGACGATTTTCGGCCAATTCTAGGGGCCATCCAGAGGGGGTGGGACTAATTATTTTTTCTTAGAAATTGATAGTTAAGGGTTTTGCAACCCAATATTTCCGATTCTGATGCTTTTTGGTAAATTTAAGGTGTTCTTTGTAACGAATTTTGTCTCTCAAATAGAGGAGAATTAATTCCAGACAGAGGAAGTATTCTATACAGCATTAAACTTCACCTTTTCTAAACTTCACCTGGCATATCCGTCCTATGTGATCTGAAGTTCACCGCAATCCTTTGGTTTCGCCTTAACACTCACACCTGAGATTGCCCAGTTGCCAAAATTCCACTTCACAAATAGGCTTAAACCCAACAAGTGCAAGGGGGCAACTGCAGGAACCAACAGTGCATTGAGACCGCTGTCGTGCCTGTGTGGACAGCATGGTCCAACACAAGTCAGCGATCACCGATAGCAGAACACATATTTGATACTTGACATCTCAGCCACACACCTACAGGATGGTAAGGGGCACCAGTGGGCGAGTCCTTGCCAATGGCTCCAAGGGGATCCACCTCCGAGGCCTGCCTATTCCCAAGGCCTTCCCCGCCTGTGCCGGCCTCTGATGGAAGCCTCCTCATTCCAGACCCTTTCTTCCCCAGCGCTCTGCTAAAGATCTCCTCAGGGTCTGTCCTCTTCCCCTTGGCCACAATCGGGCCCATCGCAGCCGCCTCCCCTGCCCCTCGCAACTTGTCGATGTCTGCCTTCAGGAGCTTCGCAGTGTCATAGTCTTCCCTATCCACTGCCGTGCGCTTTCGAGCTTCCAGCGCAGCAATCTTCTGACCAAGCGCCTTCAGCCGCTCAATTGCACCCTTCAGCCGCTTTGCAGCATCGTAGTCCTCCTGCGCCACCGCCTGGTCTTTCTGCCTTGCAATGTCACGGATCTTGGCAGCTGTTATGGGGTCCACGTTGACGTCCAGAGTGAGATCGGCCATCGCCGCGGCTGCTTGGCCTGAGACCAGAGGCTCTGGCCTTGGGGGTTGGTGCAGCTCCAGGAGCCCTGGTGGGCTGTTGCAACTGGGCAGGACCTCCCCCACAACATTGAGGGCGATCACACCCACCTGAGCAAGCACAATAAGGGACCTGCTTCAGAACAAGAAAAGGCTCACCACTGGCGAGAACACTGGCCTTTGGTCAACACTGATCATCACAAAGCCACACTCTAGTACGTAACCACATTTAACCCACAACTGGGCACCTGGTTGTAGATGTTGAGTTTGTTGATGTGGCACCGATGGGCTGAGAACTGGAGAAGCGAGCCACGTGATGTGACATGCACGCTCTTCAGCTCCCTCGCGAGGTACCCGCTGCGCTCGTTGCTGTCGAAACTGAGGTAGCCCAGGCGCTTCCATTCCACCCTCTCTGCTCCACCCTCGCTGGGCACCGGTGTGCCCACATGTATGTCCATTTTTGTGGCGATCTGCATTGGCCACCGCCACAGCAATGGCCGTTGAATGCAGCCCAGGGGATTGTTCCCTGGGTATTCCCTCCGATATCTTGGGCAGCTACTGAAAAACCATAAGATTCCCAGCAGGTGCAATTCAAAAAAGAACAGAGGTGTAACAGAGGAAAAGGGTTGCAAGTGTACACACACACGCACACGGATGACTAGGAGTTTGGTGTTCATGGAAATTGTGTGCTGGTGTTCTGTGTTGCAGCCATATACATGACACCGTATTTGGAGGTGCAAGGGCTGTATATTAACTCCATTTGTGAAGTTTGTCAAGAACACAGAAAAAGCAATGCATTTGCATCTGGAGCGGCGATGACAGCTGCAACAGGAACGAAGCATGGCTTGTTTGTGTTCCAATCCATCACAAAGCCGAACCCCATGGTGGAGCAAACGTGGGCAGCTGCAAGGGCTGTATTCCGTCCCTCTCGACAAATACAATCAAAGGACTTGCACCCACGGATCCCCAAGACCCAAGGAGGTCATGTTCGTCCCCGAGGACCACAGAAGCAGCTGCAAATTCCTAAGCAAAAAAATGGCGGGACGAGAATGGCCGCCGACCGTTGGGCGCTCGCGAACCCACCTTGTACTCGTGAGACAGCACCTGGATCTGTTGGATCTGCGCGGGCCCTTCCAGGCGTATGACCACCTCCTGGGGGTACTTGCAGAACCTGCCATCGATGGCCGGGAGCCAAAGCGACGACTCAGACCAGGCGCCCCATGCAGCCAATTCGGTGAGAGGGCTGGCATCGCGGCACTGTGACAAGCACGCGATCAATGGAATTGCACCGCGAATTGGCGCAGGGGCAACGATCCGATTCAGGTGCCGCCCTGCAGGCCCCTGCGGGGTGCTCACCTGGGGGATTGCCATCCCCTCGTGTGGGGGCTGTGGTAGAGCAGCTCCCTCGCGGGATAGTCGGGATCCTGCGATCGCGTGAAAACGGCTAAGTCAGCATGGATTGTCCCAACGCCCCGCGGAGTGGGAGGGGGGCATGATTATGGGTTGGGGGGGACGGACCTCGCCGGAACAGTACTGCAGCGCATATCGGAGCTTCTGGGGCAGGGTGCCGGGCCTCATTGCGGGGCGGGCGGGGGTGGGTGGGTGGGGATGGGCGGTTGACGACTTTGGCCCCGCGCCCCAAGGGGCGGCAGGGCAGCGACAGCAATGGACAGATAGGCGCAGGAGAGGGGAAGGGGTGGGGGGGGGGGGAAATATATTTCTGCCTGCACCCTAACCTCAATTTTAGGGCTAGGTTTAGTTTCAGGGCGAGTTTTAGGGTCAGGGTTAGGGTTAGGACAGGTTTAGGTTTTAGGGTTTAGGTTTTAGGGTTTAGGTTTTAGGTTAGGTTAGTTTTGACGGAGTTGGACATGATGTGCACTTGACTTGGTGCAAGCAGTCACCGATTTGGTGCAGCCATTAATTTTATGCCGGGGGGAGAGCGCAACGAGGCATAATGATCTGGTACAATGTCCGGCGCTTACCGTACGTGTGGGAATTGGGGTCTGGGAGGGATTCGGACCGTGACCAAGGGATCGTGGAACAGTGGACAAGTGTTGGGGGACGCCACGTAATCATCACCCTTTTGGGCCCATCCGGGTTATATGTCGTCACGGCGGCTTGAAGGTGCATAGAGAAGACACAGCCGTGCTCTGCACCTTGCAGGCGATGACGGGTTTATGTCGCAACAGCGGCGATTCAGCGGCCGATGGGCAACACTGGTTGTGCTGCTTGTAGCACATGCAACTAAACTTTGCTGACACGGACGCTGCCTTTGGCATCAAAAGGCATGCCCAAGGCGTCTTTATGTAACACAGGGAAGGGATTTGCTGCCTCTTCTTGCTAAAACTATATCCAGCACAAAAATGCATGAGATTTTATCAGCATTCAAGCTCTGGACCCTGCAGTGTTCTTTAGGGTCTAAGCATACCCAGATCAAGCCACAACCTATCCTAAAGTGTGGTGTCGCCTGGGCGAGAATGACCTGTCGGCATAAAATGAACACAGAGCCATGGGCCTAGTGGCATAAGATAATTGAAAGCATAACAAATGATATTGTTTAAAACACGGTTGAAATTACTAGATTTAGACTATAATTTGTTCGCAATCTTGAACAGCGTTGTACACGCTTTAGCGATGTTGTTGTTCACTCAAGATGGCTAAGAATAGGTGGCTCAAAACAGCCCAGTCATGAACATGACGTGGACAGCCGCTGAAGGTCGCTCGAAGTGCGGTCAGCTCGACATGATTGCAGATATCTACAATGGGGTGATCCGACATTGCACTGTCGCAATCAAACCTCGAATCGTTAGCCCAACATTCCAAGGAAAGCGCCATCAGACCTTGAGCTCGCCGATCCAACGTTTTAGTAGAATTATTTGCTTAGGGAAGACACTATTTTGATTTGGGCACGCTTACTAAGCTAATAGCATCAAATTCACAAGGGGGGGGGGGGCCAAGGCGTGACGCTGGTAAATTATGCGATTGCTTTAATATCAAAATAAGGCAAGAAGAGGTCCAAAACGCCTTCACGTCATCAGAAAACGAACACCAAAATGTGTGCAAGGGGGCAAGGGAGCTTGGGCACGATCACAGAGCCTGCAATGGCTGGGATCACGGCGCATTCTGTAGTTCCGCAGCCGCCCCAAATCACTCTGGGGAACGCATGGGGCATACCCAGCATGACCTGCCAACGAAGCGGTTGTGCAAGCTGGTGATTGGTGGAGTGGATGGGTGTTCGTGATCCCAAAGGTGGCCATAAAACTGCATGCCGTCATGACAATGTGGGCATCTATAGGTCAGTGCTTGACGTTGACTCAAGTTCTGCATGGTGCATGATGTGATTGTGCATTGGCCTGTTATAGAATAGGGAGTGAAGTTTTGCACATGTGGCTGAGAAGCGCTTTCAGATGGATGATCGTTTTCCGAAAATGATTGCGCAATAGACTGAAAACTGTGGGCAATGAAACAAATATTAACATATTGTTTTGGATGCAACATTGACACACATAATAGAAAAGAATGCCGCAATCACTGAGAAGCACTTTCATATGATGATGATCGTTTTCCGAAAACGATTGTGCAAAAGACTACAACAGCTGACATTGTGTGTCGCGTTGCGCCAAACTTTTGTGGTGTTGTGGGGATGTCGTCTGGTGGCAACAATGGTGTTTTTTTGTTTGTTTTAATGTATAGTCGTTAAGTATTTCAGGAAGCGTCAAATAAGGATTGACGCTAAGGGAAGGCGCTATGTCGATTTTGCTGCGCTTAGCGTCAATTCGACGTTAAGCTTAGGCCCCCCACCCCCCAACCCCTTATCTTCAATTCTTATGTCGATGCAAGGATGACTCAGCAATATTATGTGACAATGATATGCAATTTCTGGGTGGTTTTGAGCACACAAAGTAGTCAAAGTTGCGCTCATTTCAGTGGATTGAGAAATACGATTCAAAATTGCATTGTAGGCGGGGCGGGCAGCCTTAATTACTGTGGATTGATCCATTTAAAGGCCTTTTCTGAATATCGAACACTTGCAGGTGGTTTGTGAACAAGTCACTAGTTGTTTCCAGCTGATCCGCGACGTTTTGGGGTATCTTTCCTTCTTATGTCGATTTTGTTGCAATTACATAATCTCTTAGCATCACAGGTCGAACCCCCCCACCCCCCTCCCTCTCTCCCCAGCGTCAATTTGACGCTAAGCATAACAAAATCGACATAGTGCCTTCCCTAAGAGAAGGGTGGCGGGTGTCTGAGCTTAACGTCTTTTTGACGCCAAGCGTTCCAAAATCAAAATAGTATCTTCCCTTAAAGGAAAGCTTGAATGAAGGGGTCAAGTGAACACAGCAGTTCATCTCATGGCTGTGACAAATCGGTCTAAATCCGGACTCATCGCTTTTTGCTTTTTACTGGTTTTCCCTTCGTTTCTCAAATTTGCTTTTTTTCTTTCTGTTGTGCCATCTACTGTTTTCATACCACCTCTATTGGTGCAATTTTGGTTGATTATTGCACAGAAGGTAACAGCGGTATATGTCAAGCATTCTGTAGAAATACCAATGGGGCCGATTGCGATCGATCACAACGTCTTATCTCTTTGAATTGGCTGCTGTCGGCTGCTCTTGCTACAGCTTGGGTGCCTGTTTCTTTCCCAGATGTGCAAGCTGTCGAGCAGGATATGCTCGACGTCTTGCGGGGCCTTGGGTTTGCCGTTGCTCTGATCTTCCTGTCATTCTTCAATTTCAATCCCACTCAATTTCCCTTTACATTTCTCCCTTCGATTGTGTTTTCCACACTTCCCCAGTTTCTTCATTGCGTGATCCCTATGAGGAGCTCACAGACAGCTGTCGGCTTTCTTATGCTCCTGTCTTTCTGCTGCGCCTTTGCTGAACATTAGACATGCCAACGCAACCATCTGCTCTTTCCGCCGGCGACTCTAAACAGCAGAACGTCGCCGGCCCCGAACAACCCCATACCAAAGTGGCGAGGGGTAGAACCCTCAAAGAGCAAAAGAGAAGGCAACAACATTCAGGAAGTCAAAGTATTGAGTGAAGTGTGGCGCTTACTGAAAGTTCATCTTTCAGGTAGGGGGATCAATTGTCGATCGTGGCCCGCCTCCGTCGCGGGGTGTCATCTCGCATTGCACGATGTGGATCCAGCGGGATTCCAACATCTCGTGGTGCGGCCCGTCAATCAGCTCCAGCCCGTCGTCCTCCCATGCGCGCGATTTTCCGTATGATGATCAGGGATCAGTCCGGCTGAGAGGCCTTCATACAGGTGATCACCTGTGATGCATGATATACGCGCCCCTCGTGTGTATGGATCCACGACTGTCGCTGGCTAGCCAAGAGCACGGGCCCGACGCCACCACGCGGGTAGCGCGCCGACCCACAGCAGCAGCGGCGGGGCGTAGACCGTCGCCGGCGCATCCGGCGCGCGTCCCGGTTGCTTCCGCGGTGCCGACGCGGCATCGGCGCGCGTGGCCCAGACATCGGCGACGTGCGCCGCTGGTTGGATCCAGTCCTTCAACATCGGCAAGCCCTGGGCGCAGCCGCCGCCGACGCGAAACAGGAAGCAGAGAGCGGGAGAGGTGGGGGATGAGTCCCAGCGCGGAAGCCTACGGGCAGACTTCCTGTCAATGCTGTAGTCCGTGCCGATCCCGTTTGGGCCACGGTCGGCGTTGACGACTTGCACGGTGATTCCCTGGTTCTCGAGCTGTAGCTGACATTCGATCTGCGCTCGGTGAGAGCCACGGAAATGGCGCTCGAGCGACCCCCCGCGTTGAAAAGGCCGTGCAAGGAGCGCGACACTCTGGCCGTCCTTCTTTCGCCCACTGCCACGCGCGGCTTCATTGCCATTGACGTTCAGACTGGGATTCTCGCCTTGCAGATCGCCTGACCCCACGCTTCAGCCCCAGTCGCGCTCGCGTCGCGATCCCTCATTTTTTTGGTTATGTGTCGTTCGTGGCACTGGCAACCGCATCGGAACGACGCTGTAGGGCACAGCGCGCTTGCGTGCCCTTGCCCCCCGTTCTCTCGCCATGATTTTATGCGCACACGTGAAGTGATTGAATGAATTGACTGGGACTGGCGTTCGCAGGGTCACCAGCTTCTGGCGCCCTTGCCGCATACAGGCAACCCGCGAGGCGTGCCGCCCGCTTGGAAGGGCAAAGCGCTTCGTGCCCGTGTCCTTGGGCCGCAAAAATGAGGTTTGGGGGAAAGAAGGGGAGGGTGAACATGTGGTGCGAATTTGCCGTAATCGTGACCGCCGTGGCCCTTTACTACTTGGTGGCCCCCAGGCTGGCTCACAGTACTCTGAGTACTCTGAGCCACCACACTAGTGGGGCGATCGACTGGAACTGGGATGGACGTCACGGGGGTTATGGAACGGGGGACCAAGGGGCAGCCGGCCCTAAGGGAGTTTGCAAATGCCCACAAGGAGGTTTCCATGCTGGTGGACAAGCCAGAGTTCTGGAAAAGTGCAAGTCGAGCTCTGTGTGTGACATCATATGGGATCTGGCGGCTGGCGCCCACTTTCTGGCGGAGCGGGAGTGATGGGGATCCGGGGCATGTGGGTGCAGGCAACTC